TAAAATCTAAAAGTTCTGTTGTACTTCAACGTGGGGGAACTCAAATGCGTTGTGTTAGTTTAATAACGTTGTTTTGTGTTTCTAATTTCTTGACTCTTTAAGGGGGTATGTTTGCTTGGACCTGTTTACCTGGAGTTAATGAACATTGTTTTGGGGCTTTGTTGGCTTACTCTATTTCCTAATCTTTAATTTGTTTTCCGATCCTTTCGATTCTGTGCTGAGACCTGCTAGCCTTTTGTATTTTTCAATTTTTCCACGTTTCGTGTTAACAATTTTTTTCGACTAAATTTTTCGAGCAACAACGTTGTAATCGTTTTATTTCAGTGCAGTTCCAAGCGGCTTACAGCACGCGTTTGCGCCGCCAGACATTCACCTTTGGAGCAGTAATCCGGTAGGGCAGAACAGCTCTAGTTACGGAAATATGACGAAAAACTGGTATGAGATAAATTCGTTCTTTCTTCGGCGTCTTTTCTCAGTTCATTCCCAATTCAAGTTAGTCTTGTCGAGTTGTGACGAGAGTTCTTATTTCCATAATATGAGTCAACGAAGGTGAACTGAACTGTTCACCTGAAAATAGGTTTTCGCTTTTGGTGAGCTTGCCATTCGTAAGAAATTGCTGACTCTTTCTTCACGTGGTTTGCATCGTTTTAAATGGTGTTTTTTTCTGTGAAAATAATAACAAAAGCTCTCGTGGGATGACACTTAAATCAGTAAGGAACCGTATATTGGAAGAGTCGCCAGTTTAGTGAGCGAATCGTGCAAGAACCTGCAGCAAATCAAACCGTCTTTCCGGCGTTAAACGGCATAAAATGTCTGATCTTATCTATCTATAAACTCTCGCCAAGCTAGACTCATGTACCCTTTTTCTTCTTTTTACTTTTTTCAATCTGCTTCCGATATATTTAAACAATGCAGAACACTACATATAACGTTACGATCTATAGAGTCGAACTTGTCACAGCACGATGAAAGACATCCGAGAAAACATGGGTTCCGCTTATTAAATTTTTTTGGTTAACACCTTTCTGTGGTTATCGTGTCACTAAAACACTGTGGTCTTGATCGAAAAGGACTAACAAAAGAAAGATTACATGCGGCTATAATATTTTATTTCTGGGTTAGAACTATTAGAACAAGAGATAAAGCACCTTAGTTTTGTAGTCTGGCAGCCTGCAAGTGAAAAACCACAAAGTATAGCGGAAACTGAAAACTGTAGCACCCCTGTGAGCGGCTTCACACTGTTCTTTTAAGTGGTGTCGTACGAATGTGTGTACATGTAAATGCATGTATACTTAGGTACATTGTAAAAATATATGTACCTATGGTTTACATTGCCTTGACTCAGTCAATTTGACGGAGTTCCAACCTGCAGAATGACAAAATAGGAAGGTTCAAAGGTAAAACTAAAGGAGACAGAACAAAAGATCCTGTGCTGATCAGTCACAAGACAATATAATGTCATATAGCTTATGACACTCCTTGCCATTTCGCGTTGCCGTGTTGAAGATCCAACTACATGATCTCGCCATTAAGGAAGATCCTCGATCGGGTTGTTATTTTTGATGATCCATTCGACTTTAGATCCAAGCCTCTGTTATTTTAGCTTTGTATTCCGCAAACACTGATCTGCTCAATAATAAATCAACGATATCTACATGCGCATCAGACAATGATGGTTCATCAGGCAGTCTTGTTGTTCATCAGTCCTAGACAATGAGAGACTGCAGAGGCATTTTAACTAGTAGCAGTGTTATTTCTTAAAGATATGATCCAAATAGCTTGAGAAAAGTAGAAAACGGGAAATGCTGATTTCTTCTGCAGTCTGTGCTGTGTACGCTGAATTGCCATTGTAATTTTGTCCGCTTGACTAAACGCAATGTAGCCGGTGTAATCTAAAGAAGATCCTAGAAGATCATTCTGCAAAAAGCAGCCGTGCTACACGCCATACAACAAAGCTAGCTTTACTTTCATGCTTTCATAATCGAGATAGAACTTCACTAAGTCAAAGACCTGATACTTAAACAAGTTTTAAAGTAAGCTTAAACCCTCAGGAAGAGAAATATTTTACAAGATCTTGCCACAAAGTGTTCCCTTGTCAAGAGAGTTCAAACAAGTTGTGAAACTCTTTGAAACCTCCGCGGCCTCCCACCACCTCTCGCGTGCGATCGGTGTTAACCCCATGAGCGGTAGATAACAGATTAGTAATCGTGTTATAACAGGCTGGGAGGGCAGTGACAGGTTATCTGCGAATGGCGACAAAAGTTATTTTCACATCAGTACAAGAAAACAACCTTTTCATTTAAACGCGGAAGCTTTGGTGCCTTGGGTGTGAACAGGAGCTATAATCGGGGACGAGACCGAAGCAATAATTCTATAGTAAAGTTAGAAAAGGTTACACTGATCTATTTTTGAACATGGTTTCGTTCAAAGTCTTCTTAGGTTTGTTTAAAACAAAAATTTATGGCCACACCGCATTTTTAACCTAATTGCCTAAAACGAGCTTTTAACAAAGAGAGAAATTCTGGTCACAAATTCTTATCAATAGGAAACAAATTCTATTGACCAGCAACCTCTGGGCTTTCTTTATAAACTGCTTATAGGAGAAATTTCCGCTAAGAAGTGAGCTTTCTTACTTCCATCCGGGTTGGTGTTGATATTTTGGGGCATACTGGTTTAGCGTTAAAAGTTGTTTCTGTTGCTTTTCAATCAGTACACACCAAAGGAGCTGCAACTATAGAGGAAATACTAAACAATATCATAATTATAAAGTCATCAACTCTACCCCAGCGGAAAAACCGACACTTGTGTAAGGCGTGGTGTCTGTGAGCTTTTAGGACTCGTGCGGGAGGTGAAAACACTGTGTAAAATCACATGGTCTCCTTATGTTATGAAAATGATCATATTCAAGTGCAATCGTTGGTTCTGCATGTCTCAATTAGCTATAGGTGCTAACTTATTGATTTGCAGGTCAAACTTGCGCAATTCTGCATTGAAAACCCTTCATTTTTCGAGTTGAAATCTAACGCTGTGCCTATTTATAATCAAATTAAGACTTCGGGCTTCATAGTGTGATCAAGATTTAATATCCTCTTACAGTGCCAATGCATTGTCTTGCCTTCCGGTAAAGAGAATAACGATAACCATCAACTGGGAGTTACTGCATTTCTCAGAGGTACCAGTAAATTCTCATTAATGATATTGAACGACACTGATGAGGGATCATGAACTTTTCAAGCTTGGCCAAGAGTCGGTCAAAACATTGTCTCTCTCTCGTCTACCGAAATATAATAAAAGGAAACAATAATCCAACAGCTTTCTTTGGACGTATAAATGGTAAAGACCAGAACGGACAACAAAAGAGCAGAGAGCGACGGAGCTGGAAAAACGTCGCGTGGGTAAAAATTAAGGGCGCTCCGGGAGTTTTTAGAATTGATTGCTTATGTTTGTTGGCCCAGAATAGCTGGACACTGAGACGAAATCTAGAATGCTTTAGCTCTTGGCAAACAGAATTTTTTTCTGGATAAACAAACTGCTTATTGCTTGTTTATTATAATTAGTTTCGATGATTTGTAAGAGGTAATCTTTCCGTATTTGTTGGGCTCACATTGCAGCATTTACTTTGTTTTCTTTCTACGAGCGACAAAGTGATTGTTTGTAATGTTTGCTTGAAGAGTTAAGAGATTATTTCTCTCGAGGAGGTCATTTGATTCAAGCTGTTGTGGGGGGTCGACGACTGTTCACCATAGAAATTGTGATTTTAGTTATTCATGAAACCATTTTATGCAGTTATACAAATGTAAAACGCCGTAAAAAGTGAGGTTCCTTTAGACAGTCATGTCTTGGTTCAACTCAAACTATTTTCAGATGAATTCAGACGTATACAGCTGAATTCAGAAGGGGTGGTGAATGGTAAATGCGAGACTTTGCGAGACGGCGAGACCAGCGCTTTTCTTTGCGAGTCCGAGACATATTGACTTTTTAGATTGCGAGACCGAAACTTCAAAGTGTTCTGAGTACGAGCGCGAGGGGCTCAGACTCTTAAAATTCGAGCCCCAGATTTAGTTGAGAGCTATAAGAACATGATGAGCGAGAATGAGCTTGTACAGAAGTCTTACAAAGGAGCCTTTTGTCGTAAATACTTGTGCCTTTACACAATCCCTCAATGGACAACAGATAAGTTCATCGACTTCGTGGGTTTCATCATGAGCTACCGTGGGTTACGTGTGGCTTCTTAATTCCCCTTTTAGCCTTTTAGCCAGCCTTTGCGAACAAGCTGGAACTGGAAATTCGACTATAACACACTACGCCGAGGATATCCTAGAACAAAATAATTGTTTTTGGTGCCAAACTGACGTCGCGGTAAGGTTTGTAGCTTTCTGTGGAATTCAGACAACTTGGCAGAAGTTAGGATTAACTTTTTCTCGGAAATTTGAAAGTTGCTTTATTGAAATTCAATATCAGGTGACGAGAAGACGTCATTTATTCTAACAAACAAACGAATCGGAACTTCGAAACCCTTAACCTTGCAAAAAGTCGAGACTCCGAGAGAGCTTCGTATAAAAATCGAAACTGCGAGACGCACATAACCGAAAAAACGAGACTGCGAGACCCGTGAAATTCGACTAAAATTTTGCGAGACCCAGAGCTTTTGAAGGACCATTCGCCACCCCTTTCAGAGTTCACCTCAGTTCCCGGAGTACGACTGAGAATGTATTTTCTAAATTAACCTCTAGTTTAAGTATTTCCTTGATACACGACTGCTCTCCGTAACTCCCTTTAAGGAAAACAACGGAATGGCACTAAAACATGATTCCAATTTGGCAATCTTTTGTACGAATGCTCGTCCTTTCGGCCTCGTTGCAGAGAATACGAGGGAAACTGGTACAGTCTGAATTGGTCACCGCGCCTGCAAATGGCCGCTTTGTCGTGACTGCTTGTTCAAAACGTGGAAGATATTTTCGCTTCAGGATGCCACGAAAGGTTTGTTTTAGTCTTGAAATAGTATCGTAGCACAGCAAATGTAATTTAACTTGTATTTGTGAATATTTTTCAATCACAAAGTGTAAACAAACGAGCGGTTAGCATGAGTGAATCAATTACCGCAAAGTACCTAGACCGCTGAAAGCAGAGAAATCTCAAAAGTTCTTCCGACTTTTTTATCGTCGTGGAGTCGGTGGTGGTTGCCAAAAAAAATTTTAAATCGATCAAATACAGGTCTGAGTTACACTCCACTACATATTTGTCCAAAACACACTTTGAAAAAAAGGAAAAAAAAACTCATACTGTGCTCACAAAGTTAGTCTCAAGACGAGAAAAATATTGGTGTACAATTTTAGTGACTTGTATGTATGGATGTCGCGTTCTGCGATCTGCAGTAGAAGAAACCTGTCTAAAAATCTGGTTGGAAGCATACAGTCTTGATCAAATTTTCTAGATTCAAAATTATTATTATTCTTATTATTCTTCTTCTTCTTCTTATTATTATTATTATTTTTATTTTTTTTTCCCAGCATTTTATTATTATCACAACATTACTTACATCACTTTCACTGCAAAGCGCAAGGTTAAAAAAATTACATTACAAGAAGTAAGATTACAACTAACACTTAATACACAATATATCCAGTCTTGCTTTGAGGCTTACCATATATTAAATTATTACCATTTACAGTAAGGAGAGGAGAGGCTTCCATAGTGACAGAAATTTTGCCTTTTGGCCTTTAGAATAGAACAAAGCTTGGGGGTTTAAATTCGATTTTTTGTAGGAAGATGTGTCTCTTGCCATGAGGGATATAATAATTAAAGATAGGCATTTTAGGAAAGATAGATATATTCAAAATTATACATGTACTTTGTCTATCAAAACCATCCATAATCTTTCATAATCCTGTCACTTGTTGTCATTTAAGAAATAGAAAACATGTACAGTGTTTTTATCGAGTTATAGAAACATGAATGGAAGTTTGGGAGAACAAGAAATGCTGTGGGAACACAAGTGGCAGGCAAGTGTTTCCACAGCTTTTTCTAGTTCTCCCAAACTTTCACGAGTGTTTCTATAACTCAATAGAAACACGGAAAACATGTTTTCTATTTGTTTTAGAAAACACCGTGACGAAAAAAGAAAAAAAGCTTGTTTACTTTGATCATCAAAATGTAAATTCTCTTTGCACGTGCATCAACAGCTCATGCTAATTCTGTGTTTCCATCAAGTTATGCAAACATGATTCTTAACCAATCAGCGGGCGTATTTTCTTAGGGCTGTTTTCTAATATAGCATACTGATACATGCACTTGTAGGGAGCCATATAATTGTTCATTTACTCATTAGTCATTTCATTAATTTTGTAGAGAAAGACAGCAGTATCAAAGGAACCAAAAGCCTCCACAGAAAATGAAACACAAGAGGAACAGCAAAAGGAGAATTTAACAAATGATCAAAATACATGTAATGCCAAACTCACGAGTGAAACAGTGGACAAACAAGCTCCCCAGCCCTCTACCCCAGAAACTGGTCCAGAGTCCTTTTCAGCTGAGAGAATGCTTGAATACCAATGGCCCCCTGACCGGACGGGAGAGTTTTATGCACTCCGACATCAAGTTTGTCAGTTCTTAGAAATTGAAAGTCTTGAAGAGAAATATCCAGGCAAGTGCTCAATGGTTTTCATTTGCAATGTCCTTGTCCCAACTCTTTCAAGTATTTCATGGGTTTAATTTACTGTACCGTGTTGAATGCACACACCGGGGGGAGGGGGGGATTATGGGTTAAATAGACATGTGTGGCCCCAAACAGTATGGTTTTTAGCCATTTTTGTCATAAACTAGGGTATGGTTTTTGCACTTTAGTCTTGAATTAAGTATGTTTTTTAGAAGAAGCTACTTTTTCATCATTATTAGTAAGACCATCAACAAAAGCCCTTCATAAATTATGTTTAGGGCAACTGTGCCATCCACAACAGTCATTTACAGGGTATCAAATTTTTGGTCTGGTCATAAGCAGGGTAGGGGAAATTACAGATTTTGGTCATAAAATTAATAGGGTAAGGGTTTCTGGAAACAGGTGGGACACCCCCACCCAATATTTCTGGGAGTACCTCCCCCTCCCCTGGAATGCACATCTTGCACCTTGCTGTACATGTAGAAGAAGGAATGAGAAGCTATGTACAGAATGCTGTGTGTGATTTTTTTTTAAAATAAGATAATATTGTTCCCTTTGACATGGCTCTCATGAAGTCATTGATATTTTTATGTTCAGATCTGGAGAAGCATATTGTAGCAGAAGATGAGAAACTATATGTCAAAGAAAAAGGAGTTATCACTGATGAAATTCAAGGTACAATATACAAATAATTCTTGTAAACTATTTGGAATCCTCTTCTATGTATATGCAGATATGCATATTGTAAAACTACTGATATTAAAAAGTGGGAAAACCCATGCATTACGTACAATGTACATTTGCACTGAGGCAGAGTTCTCCATAAGTACCAGGGACTGGTTTAAATCCCTGTCACTTCTTTATATACTGTCCTGAGTTATGACATAACAAAACTGTGCCACCAATAATTAGATGGGTGCCTTTAGCCTATCAGAATTGAGACAGTGACATCAACATATTTGTACAAAATGATCTTCCAGTTAAAATTTTCAATTGAACCCTGCCCTGCGCAATATAGACAGATGTGACCCAAATTTGTTCTCCTTTAAGTTTGATGAACTCAGAGAAGGTGGCTAGTATTATTATTATTATCATTTGCCTCTTACACATAGAATTAGTGGCATACAAGACAGAGGATATCTGTCAACTTATGATCGATGACTTTCCAAAAAAATATCAGGTGAGATATAAAGTGACAATTCCATTAATTTTATTTCTTTTTTGTTTGTTGTTGTTGATATAATAATAATAACAACAATAATAGTAATAATAATAATTATTATTATTGTTAATATTATTATTATTATTATAACAATAATAAATAATAAGCAAAAAATGAAAAAATCCATAAAAGCAATATTGATTAACAAACAAACAAACAAATATATATGTCTGTACAAAACAGCTGTAACAGAAAGTTGCAATTACTGTACATCACCAGCTATAGATGAATTGTGTTTTGAAACTTGTTTATACATTTCATTTGTTGCAATGAATTTTGAAGAAGCAATAGATTGCAAAATTTACATTTGTGTACATTTTCCCTAAAATACTACCTTAGACTATTGTTGTCATGACTAAATCAAAGGCAGGAGAGATTGGGAATTTTCTTACATGCGAGTTGTTTTCCTGTATAATAACTGTACTTTTATTTGTGGTGCAATAATGACTAATAGGAAAAAAAATTGCTGGTAACCACATTTTAAGTTTATCTCATTTTTTAAAGGAGTACATTAGAGTGGCTCATATCAGAGAACGTCAAAGGCTCATTCGTAAAGCAGAAGAAGAGAAGGTACTGTACCAATACAGGTAGTGTATAGAGTCACTAATATTCCTCTTTTTTGTTGAATGTTCATAGACATTATTATGGTAAATAATTTTTGTGCGGCTCCCTCACAGTGTTTGTCACATAGAAAAGCGTGTTGTGATTAAGTACACAAATGTTGTACAGGAGCATTTCTATTAACATGTAGAAACTTATTGTAACCAAGAAACTCAGACTCTCTACATGTACCTCTCTGTACATGACCTGTGTTACTAGTGCTATTACATTTATGTACTGTATGTCATTAGTTCAGTATGTCTCTATAAATTATGTAGATTGGTAATAACCTGCATGATGAGAAGTTACTGTTTCCTTATACCAGCCCAAGCTTACATTGAGTATAGAACTCAAACTATCTATTTTCATCCTCCATTTTAGAAAGCATTAGAGACAAGGAAAGTGGCAAACTACATTAAAAGAGCCATCAAAGATGCAGCTGAGTTTAATGCACAACTTGCCCAGCAGAGAAGAGAAGAGAGGTGTTCATACTTTGATATGCAGACACAAGTAAGATAAACCTTCTGTAAATCCCTAGAAACCTAGACTTCACTGTTACATTTGAGTATTGCTCATCTATTCCTCAGTGTTTGCTTCACTACAGAGTGTACCACTTATTTCCTTGCCTTTGTATTAATTACCACCCCTCATATAAGTGCCTCCTGTGAACCATATATTTAAAATATCATTATTGCCACCTTCTTTTTCTCATTCAAATAATTTCCACCCTTACACTCTTACATGCTCTTACATACTCTTACATGCAAGTTTGAACATTGCCAAGGTTATTATATTTACTAAAGGTTGTACATATGTAAACTATGTAAAACTAGTCTAGCAATTCCCTGAAAAGCGTGAATATTTTTGTCATTGTAGATAATTCATGTCCCATCCAATAAGACGACAAGATTACCAAAGCAATGCACCAAACCAAGTTTATATCCTGTTTCTCTTCTACCAGGACAATTCCAGGAATACTTCAAA